AAGAGGAATTTAGTGGAATTAATGAAACCATTAGCTCTTTGGCACTTGTTTTCAAAGTTTTTCGTATTTTGAGACAAAAAACTATTCATAAAATGTGCATTGTTGTTTTTCAGACAAGTTAACTTTTTAAAGTTTTTTTTCCAAAGAAATTAACACCATAAGATTGAGAACAAAGTCCCAAAATCAGACAATTATTCTTAACAAAGTCAATATACCCTTCTGGGAAAGTGTTATGGCAAATAAGTACATTTAGATTTGAGGGGATCACGAATTGTCTTCAAAGCGATGTCTTTTCCTGTCCCATGCTTAGAAATATTTAATGAAAAAAAAATATATATATATAAAAATATATATGTTTGTGTGTGTGTGAATGTTCTTGCTAGATGGCCCTACTTATTAAGTACTAGATGGCCCTACTTATTAAATAATTTGTTTTTGAAAAAAAAATCTCTGTCAAGAAATCAAAGCTGGGTTGTTGGCATCCGTGGGACTTTTGTGAGACTTAATCTTATAGTTGGATTTTAGACTTTTTCAGATTTCAACCAATGGAAAAATCAAAAACATGAAGCCCGGATATGTAAACTTGTTTACTGCCCAGTAGATGCTCCCTATTTTTTCAAAGTCCATGAAACTTTTTTATCAAAGAGAAACATCTTGCTCCTGATGGATTTATACACACAGGCTGATGCCTGTGTATTCAGTGATGCTCTGAAGCTCTAATTCAATCTGCCCTCTCACCCTCATAAGGATGATGGAGCACAAAAAGTCTGTGTTTAAATGACCACCCACACAAACAGACAAACACACTGAAACACAAGCAGCCAGCTAGGCAGGCATTAAGTAAGCACAGTGAGGTGGGCAGACCCAGACAAGGCGGTTTTGATCTTAATCAGTTAAACCACAGAAGGGCTTTGGGAAAATGAATGTTAAATCCCACATATCAGGAATTGCCAAGCCAGCAAAGCTCAGTAAAAAACATTTGGATCTGAGACCTGATCTGCAATGGACAGAGAGTCATTCATTTTTACTAGCACTTTGCAGGGTTATCATTTTATCAAAAAATGTTCTCCCAATAAATATTTGATAAGGTAATATTTTACTTTACGCTCAATATTTGGATTATATATTAAAAAAAAAAATTGTGAACATACTTCTAAAATCTATGCAAGGCGGTAGATTAGATGTGATTGGTTAATTCAACAGGGACAATTCACATCAATAATTTGTATTCAAGTAGTTAGAGAAAGATAGGAAGATTTTAGACATTTAATTGAATGATTTATTTTAGCTAAAGCTATAAAATATTTTACACACAAGAAGATCTCTTTTTGCAACATTCTACTCAAAACTCTGTAGTGTGTAATGTCAATGATTTTGAGGCACAGTGTTACCAAGTTGAGTTTTGAATCAGGTCAGCAGGACACCCTATTGGGGAAGTGCATATATAAAATATATTAATATATGTTTAATTTTTGAATTCTGGATTTGGAATCATGTCTGCTCAGCAATGGCAACCCAATGCAACATTTTCCATCTGGGTATTTTGCTAAAATACACCATTATTTGTGTGAACTACAAGTTGTCATTTATTGAGCTAGAACATCTTTCATCTCAAACAAAACTATTCAAAGCATGGTGTGTGGTCATCAAAATCTTTGTTATGTTGGCTGATGTGAACAAATAATTCATTGAAGTTTGTCATTTTGATGATCATCCCTTAATGTTCATCGTTACCTATTAACAAATCCCTCAACAATTAAGGAATCCCTTAATAAAGTTATTTATGGGATCCTTTAATCCAACCCTATACTCATCTATGAAAACCCTGAAAGAGCCTTTGATATAGTCTTTAATTCAAACCCCAAAGAGAATGTTACAAAGGAGGATGGAAACGAGGGCAACAGAGTTGTCCAAACTAAAATACTAAAGGTAATCAAACACAAGGCTTTGAGTTGAAAGACATACAAATGTGGCCATGTTTTTTGTCACTTCAGAACATTTAAATCTTCTTTTTAAATGTGACCAAAGAACAGTGATCATATGGAATTAAAACAGCCATTGACACCGTAAAATGGCTTTGTCCATCTCTTCATAGAGTATGTTAACCATACTGATATGGCAGTATGCCACTCCAGTGTTAGGTACATTGGAAAGCAAAATGTATATATACATTCGGGATATGTATAGCTTTTAAGCTATTTAAATTCCATTTTCATAACCATCACAATTAGTTATAAGTTAACTTAAACCTTGTGATAGAGTATTCACATTTATTGCTACTTGGTAAACATTAAATACTTGGACACCCCCTCATTCATTCAGACCCCAGGTGTCTACTGCCCCCTTCTGTTTTGGTGACTGTCAAAACAGCAATTGGTCAGGATGAGCACTGTAAAAAATTAGAGAGTTAACTTTAGAAGTACAATTGTTCTGCTGAATTGGATGATTATCTCGTTGTCAGCATCAAAATTCAACAAAAATAATACATATACCATAAGTCGTGTTGAGCTGAAATGATATATTGCAGATTGTACTTGACAAAGAAGGAGATGCCATGAGTCACATACAACATCAAGAATATTCCTAAAGGGGAAGAAATGACATATAAGACTTATTATGAAATACAGTACTAAGATTTTCAGTCCTATACATACATGTTGTTTAATTATTATGATAATTAAGAGTATATATATATATACCTCTTTTTTTATATTGGGAAAATATTTATTTATTTTTATTTAAAAGTTAGTGAGGTAGGTAAAGGATTTTAGAATATGTAAGTTCTTATAGTTATTTAAAAGTCAAAAGCCATGAAAGTTAAAGGAAATCACTGATAAAAAAGCACAAATCTAGACACACTAATAAATAAAATGTCAAATACAGTTTGGTTGCCAGTTACAGTGACTAACTTAAACAATGATTGATGTTTTTTCCTTAAACCAGATTTGAATCTTCTGTTCTTTTGTTATGTAGAGCTCTGTTAACACATGCACTAATGTATAGCAACTGAATGTTGAATAGCAACTTTTGAATAGTTTCTTCTCTAGAAGTGTCGGAAAAATCTTTGTGTTTTTTTTCGTGTTTCTTTGTACACATACAAGTCTTTCTGTCAAGCACAATAACTAATTTGTATAAATGTTAATATATTCATGTGATAGTACACAAGTACCATAAAACTTTACAAACGTATAGTATTGTATTTTTGTTAAATTCTATCTAATTGTGTTTTCCATCAATCTAAATCATGACTTCTTTACAAGTGCTTGTACATATTAAGTAAAAAAACAAAACTTCTGCCTGACCATTTTTAAGAAGCTTTTGGGGAGTTAGTTAGACATGAGGAAGCCCTGAGGTGGGACAGAGGGAAGAATGTTTTCCCTGCTTAAAAAAAAAACCTTTCATCTCACACTTCTTAATCACTTCCTGAAGATTATACAGTACGTGCACCTCCGCACTGCACTGACTGCATGAGTGTATGTGCGGGACTAAGTGTGTGTTTGTTGTGGCCTAAGGGCAGCCTGAGCAGATGTAGTCATCCTGCCTGATGACAGACACCGATAGGGAAGAAACAGAAACAGAGGCATGAATTCATCAAAGAGACAACCAAGAGGAGATGTAAGGGTGTCTGGCAGACAAACTGAAAGGTATGAGGTGTATGAACCAGCCAAAAGAGTCAGCAAATTTTTTACGCTGCTAAAATACACATTTGGAAGTGTTGGTAAAGTAATTTGACCCAAATTGGTGGGACTCTGGGAGTCTAAGTATTATTATGGTTTGTGAGGCCAGCCAACTCAGGATGCAAAAAAATCAACATGAGCTTTTGGGTCAGAGGGTGATGGGACTGTAGGCTTTAATAATAACAATTTTGTTGTAAAATGGTGCACACACTTAAGTAGGTTAATAGAATACAAAATAATATAAATAATAAAAAATAGTTAAATGTTTATAAAAACACTTTAAGAATATCAAAAGTAAAGCAGACCTTCCTTTATTGTTGAGCTCAAACAGAAGTATTTTAGTATATTTGAAAGTGGAAACAAAAAAATCAATTGTCATGAAAGATTAAGACATAACTACATTGCTCATCAGTGCAAAACACTTCAACTATCAAAATGAGAATAATTTTCTTCACACAGGTGTCACATCTCCATAATTGTTCCAATGTGATGACATGAACTTCCTCCATCTTGCACGCCTTTTTTGGCCATTAATGTTTTAATTTGGGATCGCTATGCTTGTCCATATTATTTGACAGGGATTGTACATTCCTTCAAACTCAAAGGAAATTATTTACATTTCTTACATCCACTTTTCTTCTTTAACTCATCAGGGCTTTAGATCTTTTTAGATACCTTTTGGATGAATTGGCATTAATCTGCTTCTACTTGTAAACTATTTTGCTGTTGGCATGATAACTCTTAAGGCTACATGGGGATGTGCTGAGCTCATGGTAATTTTCGAGGTACTCGAGAGTTTCTTTCCATGGGCCAGAAAGATGCATTTTTGGTTAACTAGTCCCTAAATTGAGTCTGTGAGGGTTTGTTTTGTCTGATCGCTTGTTTGAACTTGTAACAAACTGGTGACTAGGAGGGGGGTTCTCCCCTGAGACATTAATTAATTGGTTAATTGATCAATTAATACATAAATATAGATCATTTAACAAAAAATGTCAGTTGAATGTGTATTTATTTTTTCGGAACATCCAGACTTTTTCACCCCACAGCGGGTTAATAAACATAGCGCTCCCAGCCCAGGCTAAAAACCTGAGAAATGCCGACGCAGCAACCGCTCGTTGAATGAAAAAGTCCGGTGATCTGTCAGTTCAGCATACGCCGTCAGTCAATACGCATGCGCAAGCATGCGTGCGCACGCGTATTGACTATGCGTATGCTGGGCTGACAGAACAGCAGCCACTGACTCTACCTCGGTAAAGACTCCACGTGGTGCTGCCCAGTGTCATTTCGTCAGCTCCACGGATTCAGTCAAAGACCAGCTTAAGTATGTCCACGGTGAACAGCGGCTCCGCTGGCTGTCGGGCCATTGTAATGGCTGGAAAGTACCTGTCGAGTAAACGGAGCTCCGGCCAGCCGCAGCGCTGGGTGTTTGCCCCGCAACGCCGCCTGTTGAGCTCCATGGGGGCGGGAGCCGCGGCTTCTGGTCAGCTGGAGAACCTGGGGTATTTCTCCACCGCGGACCGACACGCTTTCGCCAACAAGAGTTTGATTTACAGGGATGTTAGGGCTTTTCTAAGTGAAGTTGGAGGAGATCCTCGGGAGGCTCGTTACTGGCTGACTCAATTCCAGAGAGCGACTTCGACCCAGTGTCCTGCCTTTGCTGTGCTTGAGGTAAACAAACTTGAGGGGAAATAGTCACATGGCGTTACATTTTGGTGGGCTGCTGGCAATTCAACTGGAGTGACTTTGAAAACATTTGACAGACCAACCGAGCATTGAATAAAAAAAAGAAACGTTTAAACTTTCTATTACATTTCTACCTAGGTCATGACATTTTTATTTTTTATATATATATATATATATATAAGATTTAAATAAACATTAACCTCAATAAACAGATCAGGTTATACCTTTGACTATTTACGATTTCAATGCCAGTCGCACAACACAACAGGCAGAGTTGTGCTGTGTTTGTTGATTTTGTCTTTCTATGCACATGTATTGTGTCTCCGGCCCATCTGGGTTCCACTCACAATGGAGCAATCTTTCAGACGCCACCAGGAATACTGAAAATACGTAGATTAAAAGGAGTAAAGGACACTGTCAATAGTTTTTTCAGAATGGTTCTTTGATTCAGAATTTTCGACAAACTATAAATTGGTCCACTCTTACTACAATGTTGCATCCACTGACATTATACCAGATGACTTGTTGTTTGTCGAGATGTAATTTTGCCATAGAGAGATGAACCTTTCTCAGACAACACTTTCATGCATTAGCCTTTGATCATCAATTCCTTGATACCAAATGATGTAACACGATCTATAAATACTGGTAAGGGAAAGTTCTCCAGAGCAGCATCCCCCATTTGCACATAGAGCCACGAAGGTAATATTCAAGTTTGAAGCTTTACCTTCTTGAGTTTTCATGAAATTGATAATAGCAAAAATGACTTTATTTATATAGCACTTTTAAAACTGGGTTTATGAAGTGCTTTGACAAGAGAGAACCAAACTGGGAGGATTGAAGAACAAAACAATGAATGAAACCCATTTAGTTTGAAATATAAAATAAAATAAATTATCTTTCTTCTAACTCTGAAATATCATATATGGGCACAAACATTTCCAATCATTTTGTTAATTGAATTAATGCGACAGGAGATAGGACATTGATGTCTGAAGGCACCAAGACACTTTAAAAAAGGTCTCAGTCACAGCGCTAGAGGAATTTTAGGACTCATACATTGTGTCTTTTGTAAACTGTGATCACATTTAGTTTTTTTTCTTTGTCCGCCACAGGTAAACGGCTCAGCTCTCCACAGCAGGGAAAGGGTTCAGAGCCTTGCTTTCGGACTGTCCTTCCTTCAGCGCATGGATATGAAGCCTGTTGTAGTGATGGGCCAAATTGAGCACCTGGAAAAAGTGTCTGCAGAACCTGTTACAGGATCCTGTTGTATCAGAGAGGTTGTGGAGTGGTGCCAGCAGTTGATGGAGGCTCTGCAGCAGCACTCGGCCACTGTCCTGCCGTTCTTTTCCGCGGAGTCCATCCTCCAACTGCATCAAGCGCCTCAAGGAAGCAGGTAAGGACAAAGAGGCCTTTCTGCAGTCTCTTAGTGAATCAAAAATCTCTTTTAATCCATTCTCACTGTGAATATACGATATATGAACACTGAGATTAATTTAATTTGTGAAATATTATGAAATGTTTCAATTAGTTTAAATAGGAATATACATCAATCTCTTTCTTTGGTAATATGACACCAAACTCCCCTAACTGATTTTCATCCACCTGTTGATGTTTTCCTCAGACTTAACTAAATCTTTTCAAGTCTGATCATGCGTTGTTCACTTTGCTTTCTTTCTTATTTAGTGCTCACCCCTATATTGCCGTTGACACAAGCCTCCTCCAGTGGAGTCTAGACTGTGGAACAATACCATTAGTTTGTCCGGTGGGAAGGGACTGGCGAGGCTACTCAGTAACTCTGGACCCAACAGAGGTTACAGCTGCCATTTCACGCGCCTTGCAGCCCCACAAAGTAATTTTTCTGAACAACTCAGGAGGTCTACAGAGCCCAAATCACAAGGCAAGATAACTAGCTTGTTCTTCCAATGTGCACTAAATTTGAATAGCAGAAATTATACATGTTGGACACTTCCTATTTGTATGACAGGTGCTAGGAACAGTGTCATTGCCCACTGACTTACCCAGTCTGTCCGTGGCACCGTGGTTGAGTGCAGCAGAGCGCCGCAGAGTGACCACCATCGCCAGACTGCTCAATCAGCTGCCAGTAGATTCCTCTGCTGTGATCACCTCAGCAGGCACTTTACTCACTGAGTTATTCAGTCACAGGGGTGAGGCCACTGACTGACCCAATACATGTCTCACACAAACGCATATATGTATTAATAGAACACTGTTCTATTTAAGATGAAACCCAGGAGGGCACCGTAAATGTAAAAGTGGGGGATGGTGCACCTGCAACCTGATTAAAATGTTTAAGTTTTTTTACTTAAAAAACACATTGAAATCTAAGTCAATTAGTCTGTTTTTGTTTTATCCGTGTCAGGTTCTGGGACACTTTTTAAGAATGGAGACCCCATACACCGGTCAGTATATCTCATAGAAATCCATGTACCCAAAATTCAAAGTCATAAACTAAGTTTAACCTTATACATGAGGCATTGGTCATTCTCTCCTTTACAAGTTAAATAGCACATTAAAAAGACATCTTATGGCATGTTATGTATGTTGCTGCTTTATATATGCAGGCACAGCTCTCTGGATGAGATTGATGGGGACCGTCTGCTGGCACTCATCAACAAGTCATTCGATAAAACTCTGAGGCAGGATTATATCGACTCTCTGAAAGGACGGCTGCACTCCATCTACCTCTCTGAAGGGTTGGTCGCATGTGTTTTCTTACAGATATCTGAAACACTTATTCCAGATTTATCAATCTCTGGAACATCAAAAAACCAGCCTTTGCATGAAATATTTTTTAAAGCAATATTTGTTCAGCCACTGTGCGACTGAACGTGTGTGTATTTTTTTTTCTCACAAACCCGTGCACATATCCTCATAGAAAGGAGGCTTATCTTCCATTGGCTAAAAATGAGCCTCATTTTTAGCTGAAAAAAATAAATAACAATTGTATGAGTTTAATTCCTTTAAAATGGTAGCGTAAAAATGCCTTCATCTGTGTTATGTTTGGTTAAACATCAAATATGAAAAAATACTGATTAAAACTGGCTTATAATAATCAGCATCCTATTTTAAATTTTTGGCAAATACCTGTGAGCACAAAACAAGGGGCTGTTGAGATATTTTTATTTTTTAGCCATAAGAAATCAACCAGGGAAAGAAAATAAGTCAAAATTTAAGATGTAGTGGTAGAACAATTTTGAAATCATTTATAAGAAAATATCAACTTTAATTCCATGAGGGAAATTCAGTTTCAGTTCAACCCACAGCAGATGGAAGCCTGTCTTCACTAGCTGAGAGCTGGAAGAAGGCCTGTGTGTGACTATATATCTATCTATATCTATAAAAATGTGTAATATATTAAGAATAGCCCTTGAACCTAAGGAAAAGGGAGCTAAAGGTTACTTGTTGAGAGGAATAATGTACTTGGTACGCAGTACTCACTTTCACACAGTGCAGTCCAGTTGCTCCAGTGTTTGTACTCTCATGTGACAATATAAAGGAACCATAGTATAACCTCAGGCTGGACAGATAAATCAGGGCTGACAATCACATAGCACTTCCTAGAAGGATTGATTTAGTGCTGAGTAAGTAAGATCTCAGGCAGGACTTTTTACCAGCATGTTTTTATTCGGGGGGGGGGGGGCTTCTTGGGAGGAATGCCCCCCCCCCGGCTTGAACCCGTGTTTAGTTGTTGGACTTCTGTGCTCGGCACGAATTGTCCATAACAAACACCATGTTCAGGCATGAAGGTGTCCATATGTGCTCTTTGCACCAGGACCAGCTCAATGATCAACTTTGTTTTCGTTTCAACTGATCTGGGTTGCGTTGGCTGATGCAACTGTGAAATATTGCGTGGACATCAACATGATAGGCGGTGGAAAATGGATGGATGTTTTTTATTCATACAGAGTTAGGCTGTATGCACTGCATTTGGAACCTGACATTTTGCATGTCTGCTTCCCCTTTAGCTACAGCGCGGCAGCCATCATCACCATGGAGTCAGTTAACGGTGGCACGCCCTACCTTGACAAGTTTGTGGTGAGCAGCAATAAGCAGGGTCAGGGAACCAGTCAAATCCTGTGGGAGTGTATCAGACAAGACCTGGGTAAATTGTTCTGGAGGTCAAAAGCCACAAACAAGATCAACCCATGGTAAGATGAACACGCTTTCTCATTGTTGGTCATTTAAAACTAAATAAAAAAAGCTTGCTTTGTATTTCAGTCAAAATAGAATGCAATGATTTACTCCATCTATTGTCTATATTCCTAATAGTGGGTGTTGAGAGGGGGGCTGGAATCTATCCCAACATTGGATGTGAGGCAAAGTACCCACTTGACAGGTCGCCAGTCCATCATAGGACTTAATTGCAATTCTTATTACCTAAGCCTTTATTTTCAATCATGCAGAGAAATGATCGCAAAAGATTCAATTGAGACTTTTAGCTTTTTGTTGACAAATATTAGATCATTCTGAAACTGATGGCATCAACACATCTCAGCAAAGTGAGAGAAGCCCATGTTTACCACCGGAGCAACCCTTTATAATGTCATTCTCTAAATAGTGGAACTGAGAAGAACAGTTGTTGTAAACTGACATTTCTAATGTGAAATAGAATTACAACCCCTGGCAAAAGTTATGCCTCGAAGGATGTTCATTCAGTTGTTTGTAATTTTGTAGAAAAAAAGCAGATCACAGACATGACACAAAACTAAAGTAATTTCGGTTACTCTTTTAGACCAAGCAGAGGGATGAAAAATGGAATCACTCGAATTCTTAGGAAAAGATTATGCAATCAGGAAAAAAAAAAGAATGCTCCAACACATCACTTCCCCTCTGCTTTGTCTAAAAAAGTAGCCGTTACTGACTACCACAATTTTTTTTCTTGATTTCTTTGAGTGTTTCTTAAAGCCAGACAGTTTAGTCTTTAGTTTTGTGTCATGTCTGTGATCTGCTTTTTTTCTACAAAATTAAACAACTGAATGAAAATCCTCAGACGCTGGTGATTCCATCATTTTTGCAAGGGGTTGTATATCCACCTATAAGCTATGGGTCTGAATGCTCGATTTCATCCTTTAAAAAAAGGATGAGAATAAATTAACAGTGGTAACCTTTTGGGATGGGAGATGAGGGGTCTTCTATATGATAACATAGGATGAGGGGAAAACTGTACTTTCTGGGGTGTTGAGTTTAAACCAGTTTGAATAGGGCATCATCAATTCTGATCCATGTTCTCTGATAAGAGTGCACTACTTATAAAACACACAGCAAGACAAGTAAACAGCAGCCAGTTTGATCTGATTTCTATTGGGGTTATAGATAATATACTTTTACTATACTTTCAGTATACATTTTACAAATGCATTTCTGTAAAATATTTGCCATGTAATCTCATTCCATCTGTGCAGGTATTTTAAGCATTGTGACGGAAGCTTTGTAAAGGGAGTATGGACTGTTTTCTGGTTTGGCCTGACGGACATAAGAGATTCATATATGCTGGTGGAGCATGCCACGAACCTCCCTGACTCATTTCAAAGCCCTCATCTTACCTCCACAGATCAAACTTCTTTGTCTGCCGCAGGATCTTGAAGACTTTCTCCACAGCAACTGGTCATTTAGTCCTTCATCTTTGAAAAATGAACACTGTTGTTCTTTTAGACCTGCAGATCTGGAGTTTCTCTTTCAACCTTAAAGATGTTAATATTGTTTACTTTGGATTTTGCAGTATTTGAGATTTATACATTCTGAAAAACTGTTGGGAAGACATGTTTTTTAAATCTTTTTTTTCCCCTTACACTAAAAGAGTATTTGAAAAAGGAAACCTACTACTACAGATCTTAACTATAATATTGACATGAAAAATTAATTGCATCTTGGCTATATGGTGCCTCCAAATCTGAAATATTTTATAGTATGTTTTAAAGAACAATGCATATGTTGATAAAGGGTAACTGTTCTGCTTTTGCACTTGAAGAAAGTATGTTTATGTCTTTGATAAAAGAGACAAACAGCTTACAGAAACAATCATGCTTGCTGTGGTTTCTATGGTCTTTTTTATTTTTAGGTGTCAAGAGGAGCTGGGTTATTTTTGCTTTGGCTTAGAATTTGAATTAAACCAAGCCAAAGGCTGTGGAGTGTTAAGAGGTATATGCAGTCAATTGGATCTCTGGCTAGTGTTTCTGATATTGGCTAAATAAATGCACCTTGTTTGCACATTTCTGTCTACATAGGATACTTTTTGTTTTGTCTTTGTGTCATGATTTTATCTTATATATTCTTTTACTTTGAGTGTTTCTTGAGATCCAGACTGACCTACATAACCAGAAAAAGTTTTACTAAAGGAGTATCTTGGCACTTACTTTGGGAGATGTCAGGTCGCATTGGACATTCCGCAATCACTTTTTTTTTTAACTTTCTCATCAGGTTCCCTGTGACTAAAAGTTTACACAAACAGGAAGGAAGAGATTTCAATGGTTTTCCAACAGTTACCTCATTTGTGTTTATCTGCTTATGAGAAAAAATTCTGATTTGGTTGGCCTAGTTATTATGCACTGATAGAATTCCCATGAATAAAAAGGCACCTTCCATATCCTGAAATCTTCTATATTGTTACTTCTGTGTTCATCAGGGGTCCCAGAATTAGTCACTTGACATTTGTCTTTAAAAGAGTTAAATCTACATGTGACGCATAGACTGTTAAGATGACAGTGTCCAGGCAAGGGGTAACCCAGACACAACCTGAAAAATAACCAAACTTCTTTCCAACTCAAGCAGCCAATGAAGCATTATTAAAAGGTGACGTTATATAATTTTATTAATAAAATGTATTCAGCTCAACTTCAGGGTGGGCCAAGGCAAACATAAAAAAAAAATTAATCCATCTGAAATACTGTAAGAGGGAGTATGACTTAAACAACACAAAAAGTATAGAAAATACAAAGACTTAGCTAGCTAGTCTAAATGAACAGGAGAAAACAGCCAAAATCAAAATGGCAGTCCATCCATGTATTTCAGTAATTTTGTTGTCTTGTATGTATACACCAGTGCTCCACTGGCAGCAGTCCTAGGTTTTCAGGGGAAACTACCTTTCTGCTCGAATGGTTGTGTATTACTGTATTGTGCTTACAGTGAAGAGCGCACAGTTGAGGATGAAGAATAAGAATGTTGTTGAAACAGGTAAGACATGTTGTCGTTCACCACTGACAGAGGTCTATATACAGTCATAGAAAGAAATATTAGACTACTTTCCCACTTTCTGTTGATTTACTTTTCTAATTTTCTAAAGGTACTTTTTTTTTGACAAAATATAACTAAGAGCTGATATCTAGCCAATTTTACAAGGTTACTTGGATAATAACACTCCTATAGTTCTTCCTGTTTAAAACTACTTTTATGAATTAAATTTTTTAAAATTTTTCCAATTTCTGTATCTAATTTTTTTTAGCATATTCAAGTATTTATTTCCCTTTCAAGCCGTTTTTTTCCTTTTGTCCTAACAGATTTTGGTAGTGCTATTTAACTGCTGTAGCCCCCTCATGCCCCACCAGACATTGTAACTCTAAGCATGAAATACTCAAAAGAGTAAAGCCAAATGGTATTTTAAAGTCTATACTGAAACATTTAACTAATCTAGGATGAAGAGTATAAGGGAACAATGTCTGCTGTCTTCACGGGCAAAACTATCCTGTCTGGATTCAGGAAGGCCTATGGAGGTAACATGTTATGAGCAATTACCCTGGCAGATGGTGTCTCTATTCTCCCATCCTGGATAGCTGACAGGTGGATGGAGTGGTCATAACGGTCTCCATTGTGTAGGGCAGGGTGCTGTTTTCCTCTAATAATGGCAATATTGTGAAGAACAACCCAAACCACAATTATATCACAGGCCCTCCCAAGGGTCACCCTGAGGTGATGTTTCATGGCCTATCAGGGTAACTTCGAGACTAACTTGATCAAGTGAGGAGTTACGTCCCGAGTATGAAACAACCACTTTGAGGCGTGTATAGGTTTTGATCAAGGTATGCTGCCATGGCAATTGACTCCACCTCTCAGCTCTGATCCAATCAGGTTATGTTCTTCATGTCTCCAGGTTTCCACTTAACCACTCACATTCTAAGTACCGCCCCTCCAACGACAATCTCTCCCAAGACAATGCTGTAATACCTGGATGACTGTAGGATATTGGCAGACAAATTGTGAGAGGCTTTCTGCACAGAGCGAGGATCTATTTAATCCACCAGAATCCAGATGGTATTCTGCATGAAAGATATAGATTCTCAGTGGAGGGAATTTGCTACCTATTCAGGCCAGTAGTTGGCAATATCACACATATTCTGCCCTAACAACGGAGCAGATAATGTCCTTTTGCTCAGATATTTTGCCAGTGAATAATATCTGTATTCCATTGGTGATGCTGTGCATTTTAGAAAGAATACTGTTTGTTAGATGATCTGTCAGGCACTTGTTTGATGCATTTGTCGTTTTCCATGATTTGTGGTTTTATCTGATTTGAGTCTGTTATCAGTATTTCTTATGAAAAATGTAGTCATCGAACAGCATTTAGACTTAGACTCAACTTTATTTATCCCTTGGGATTTCTCCTTTAGGGAAATTCTGGTTCCAGTAGCCTATGTAGAATACAAAGGGCAAGATGCCAATAATGATAATGATAATTATCGACATAATCATTTTATGTCTTCGTTTATATTAAAAATTTAAATAATTTACAAATAACTAATATCATTATGTTGTTAATTGTGCCTGTAACACAATGATTGATTTTGTTTTTGCGTTTGTTCATTTTAGTCAATATACAATTCAGTCTCTCTCAGAAAAACAACCTCTGGGCGTATCTCAGAAAAATAATGTTATGTTTAACCATTTCAGCTTGACTTACTACATCATAACTCCGATGGTCCCCCAATATCATAAAGATTTTTATTTTATTTTATTTTTTATCCTTAATTTCACATAATCACGGACATTACATTGAGCTCTGATTGAATATCGGCTTTGGCCAAAGTTGGTTTTGGCGGTTGGCATAAACTGGAGTGTGACTGGATTGGGATGACCACAAAGGTAGATGGGGGTGGTGATGAAGATGATATGGATTTTGACGAATGGACTACGGTAGGTAGAGGAAGGGGTAGAGGGCAGGAAAAAGTTTCGAGAGATAATCGAGAGATTGGTAACCTAAATAGTAAGAGAAGATAAGAAGAATATAGTTCAGATGAAGAAAACAGAGTGGTTAGGAGGAAAATGGTAAATGAGGAGTTTAAGGTAATACTTCAATTCAGGAAGGAAGATAAGAACATAAACCTTAGTCCGATAGCAGTGTCTAGTGAAATAAAAAAGAAACTAGGGGAGGTTGAGTTTGTAAAAATCTTGCGAGATGGTAATATGTTGATAAAATGTAAGTCTGAAGAACAAAAGAATAAAAGCATGCAGATTGATAACATTTGCAAAAAGGTTGTGAGTGAAAAGAAAATTGTTGGAGAAAACAGAGTATCACGTGGTGTAATCACTGGTATTCCGCTTGAGGAAGATTTAGAAAAACTTAAAAGAAATATACAGGGTGGTGAAGTGAGGAGATTGATAAGATTGTTAAAATCTGTGGATGGGGAGAAAATAGAAAGTTTTTCGATACTTCTGGAGTTTCAAGGTGATGTTCTTCCAGATAAAGTGAAAATTGGTTTCTTGTGTTTTTCTGTTAGACCTTATATTCCTCCTCCCTTGCGCTGTTACAAATGTCAAAGGTATGGTCACATTGTATTGGTGTGTAAAGGGAAGCAAAGATGTGCTAAATGTGGTGGAAATCATCGATATGATGAATGTGGAGCAGATGTACAGTTGAAATGTAGTAACTACGGTGGTCAGCATAATGTAGCATATGTAGGGTGTGAAGCAAGAAAAAAGGCAGCAGAAATTCAACAGCTGAAAGTAGTTAAAAACATTACTTATGCAGAGGCAGCAAAAAGTGTTCAAGAAAAAAGAACAGTTCAGAAAAACCAGCAAGTGTCTTCTAGTCCAAATCTTGGGCCAAGTCAAAGAACAATGTCAGGAATGGAAATTACAATGGATAAATTAATTTTATTCATGGCTTATGTTATTAATTGTACTGATCAAGTGAAACAGAAAACTGAAAAAATCAAGATTATAGTGAAAGGTGCAGAAACATTTCTAGGTGTGAAGGATTTATCTTGGGAGTTGATAAATAAAAGGCTTGAAATAAATGGGAAGCAAGGTGGAGGAAGAATTTAATGCTTATTTTACAATGGAATGCAATAAGTTTGTTAGCAAATGGTCAAGAATTTAAAGGATATTAACCGTTTGAAAAATAAACCAGATATTATTTGTATTCAAGAAACATGGCTTAAACCAGAGTTAGAATTTGTCATAAGAGGGTATAATAGTATTAGAGATAGGGAACAAGAAAGTGGAGGAGGATGTGTAATATTTATAAAACAAGGAATACAGTATAGATTTTTAGGAAAAGGAGCTTCACTAGAATGGTTATCTGTGGATATTTGGATTAATAAAGAAAGTATTAAAATATTAAATTTTTATAATTCGTGTAAAAAATTGGATGTAGATGAAATGGAGGAAATGTTTAAAAATATGGAAAGAAAGTTCATCTGTTGTGGAGATTTTAATGCTTATAGTACTTTGTGGGGTAATAGGAATGATGCAAATGGAGAAGTGGTGGAAAAAATAATGGATAGAAAACATTTGGTTTGTCTTAATAATGGGGAAGGGACGAGAATTAATATTAGAAATGGATCTGTCAGGGAGGTGGGTTCTGAAAGGAGGACTCAGGTGCGGAGATGAGGGGAGACAAGATTTATTGCAACA